ATGCACTCCATATTGTTTACATTACAGAAGTAGTTGATATAATAGTCTTAAGTTGTTTGAATTTTTAACATGTACTATCATCATCATCATTAATTTTTTTACTATTTTTTTCTTTGTGAAAAAAGGAAAAGAAAGAATTTTAAGAGCATATTTATATTTGAAGCAGTTATTAACTTGCATTTCTTTTTCTAAGTAGTAAGCATGAGCACAAAAGAATTTTAAATGAGTGAATTACATGTACAAGAATAACATCCTAGAATGTTATTATGCAGATTTGTGAATATTCAGTAATAAAGCAGAGAAGATAACACATTGTTCTGATTAATGGTGAACTTGGCCATCTCCATAGAGGAAACATTTGGCATTCATTGACCAAACAATTAGTATTACTGTCAGTTAAAATTTATAAAATCTTTTTATCTTAAAACAGTTTTTCAAGAAATCAGACTTCTCAAGTCCACTAATTGTTATCATTAACCTTTTGTTTAAGATAATATGGAAAGTCAACATCTTGATTATATCAGGTGTAACTTGAAGGGAAATTCTGGTTACGCCTGCTAGCCATTTTTCTTCTTGTTGCTGTTGGAAGTTTTTAACTGATTTGATGTTTGTTATTTCATAAAGTTCTTTGTGATTTTATAGTGCCAATCTATAGGGTGTGATGGAAGATTGTCTTCTTTAAAATCTAAATGATTCATTCACTTGAAGCCATTTTTAATCATTTGATCTGATATAAAATAGATGATAGTTTAGACATTTCATGACATCCATGTGAAAGCCTAGATTTGATGAGGCTATTTAAGAAAATGACTAGAATTCTGAGGTTAATATTTTTGTTTGGGTAGCATCTTACAGTGTTGGACAAAAGTACTTTTAGTGCAACCTATCCTGAGTTTAATTTCCTTATTTCATATACTAATTAGTTACATTATTTAAAATGTTCACCATACTATAAAATACACAAGTTCCAAGTAAACTTTCACATTAAATTAATAGGTTAAGTATGTAAAAATCCTTCTAGACTGCAGAGGTGTAGCAACTTGATCCCAAATTGATTTCACAAGTAGTCAGTAAACCTCTGTAGACACATTAAAGTAAGCCATCTTTATAGGTGTTTACTGCTCCTTGGTATTTGCAGGTTCAGAATCTTACTCTCTACCATGTCCTATAAATGCTCAGTTGGGTTCATTTCAAGAGGACATGGTGGCCACACCATTCATCAGAAGTTTCCAGAATGCTCTTCAAACCAATTCTGGGCAACATGGGTTCAGTGGCATGGTGCATTATCCTACTGGAATAATCCCTCATTGTTGGGGTACATGGAGTCCATAAAAGGGTGCAACTGGTCATGAATCAGTGCAATTCAGCATACACCAGTCAATGACCCAACCAGCACCATGTAAACACACCCAATACAATTATGGAACCTTCATCAGCCTGCATGTTGCATTATTGACAACAGGGTTTCAATGGCTTTATGGAGTATGCACCATGGCTGAACCCAATTATCAGCACAAAACAATTGAAACCCTGACTTATTGGACTGCACGATACATTGCTAGTTCTCCAGGATCCCATTAGGTCATCATGAGCCTAGGTGAAGCAGTATCTGGCATCATGGTGTTAAAAGGGGGTCCTATACCATATCCACCCTTTTAACATCATATATTCCCATATCACATGAAAGCTAAAGAATGTTGAACTGATCTGAAGGATATGTAACTGGTACTACCTGCAGTGAATGTGGATACAATTTAAGTCAGTGTTGCTCAATTGTTAATACAGACAATTCTAGCCAGATATCTCTGATCATGATCATCAAGGACCCAGGTTTATCATCCAATGTACTGTCTACGATGAATGTTAATACCGTCTATAAGGTATTCTTGGTATACACATGATATTGTAGATCAAGGAATGTCAAATGTCTCCACAATTTAAAAAGTGAAATGTTAAGGTATGGTGGCACAACCTACCATTACCATTACTTACTGCTAACCCATAACTTTTGGCACATCAGTGTATATAAAAAATATTAGCAAATACTTCTGGAATCACCAAATATCACTCTTTTCATTTGCTTCATAACCATTTTGGATATCACTATGTAATATATACTGTTTATAAATTTTAGCTCAAGTCTCATTTTATTTTTTTAAATTAAGTACACACACACAGACACACACAGTGGTGGCATCCAACCGGTTTGCACCGATTCTTAAAATTGTAAAAGCTTAGAGAACCATTTGTTGGATTATCTGATAATAATTTTATATATTAATAGAGGTTGAAAGAGGGTTTTCTGTGATGAACATAATTTATTTTGACAAAATGAATTGTCTTGAAGTCAAAAATGTAGCAAATCTTTGTTATAAATTTGATAGATCTTCCATTAGATCTTTGGGACTGCAGCGATTCAGTTTGAATGTGACTAAGAAACCATAACAGAACTCATGAAAATAGAGATAAAAAGCATCATACTTCTGAAGAGAAATATAATGAAAACAGAATTTCAATCTGGAAATATCTTAATAAATAAATGTTTTCTAAATGGTTTAATTCTTTTTGATACTAAATTTGTGATTATTTTCTTTTCAATCTGAGAATGGAAACCAAACAGAATAGGTTCCTAAAGATTACCTGCCATTATAGAACTGGTTCCTGGAAATTTGCCATTATTATATATATATATATATATATATATATATATATATATGTGTGTGTGTGTATATGTATGTATGTATGTATATCCCTCTACACACACAGAATTATTTTTTGTGGGATGATAAAATTTAAATATACTCAGTTTCTGATTGTCACAAAACAATGGAATCTCTTTACATATCAAGAATGTAAGCAAACATGGTAGTATTTTACTGTTTTTAGGTATTTACTAAGCTTAACTTAGTTTGGTACAAAGCTGCAATAGTAAGATAGATGGTGAGTAAGTGAACCCAATGCAGTCATAATGGCATACTAGACTAGCTCATTAAACATTACCCCATAGTGAGATGTCCATTTTATTGTCTATAATACATCATCCTCAACAAAAAAATAAATAAGACTTGTATGAAAAAGTGACTTAGAAGGCGTTTGATGTTAAATGACTGTTTAAAATGTACAAGTTAAATCCAATATACAAAGAAAAATAATCTCTTTATAAATAGACACTTTCCCTGGTGAGAGCATAATAGCAGAATGGTTATGTTTTTTTTTTTTTTTTTTTAATAAATAGAATATATTAGTTGCTGAAACCAATCTTAGATAATAATGTTTGTATGATTTCCCTATGGAAGAGGACTGTAAGCAATGACAATAACTTTGTAGAATGGTAAATCTCCAGCTGCACCAAAATTAGTAAATATGGTGAGTTCCTGAAGTTAGCCCAAGGGAAATCTTCAATGTTTTTTTTTATTTGAATATCCTTGTGCTCCTAAAAGATTCAATAGGCAGATCTGTGAGTTCTCTAATTACACTGCACAAAGCAACCAGAGAAAAATAATGAAATGAACTACATATGATCTTTAATTACAGTGTTTAGTATTTATAAATGGTCAATTGTACATACAAAGTCATTCACAAGATCAGCATTATGCTTAGAAAATGTTTACAAAATTCAAAACAATTTCTAAGTCCCCATAAAGCTAACATCACACAATTTTTTTCTTGTTCATCTTTATTTCAAAACTATAAAAATAAAACAAAAAGGAAGAAAAAAGAAAAGAAGTAGGGAGTGACAAAGTGAGGAATGGTTAAACAAATATTTGTATCCAGATCAGATAAATTTGGGAGGAGATAAAATATAATGGTGAAGAAGAAACAGATCCACAAGAGTTGAATTTGATTGTTCTTGTTTGTGTCCTCAACAAAGAGAACAAATTCTAATTCTTGGAATTTGTTTAAGTCTATGATGGAAGTATGAATGAGTGATGGCAAAATAGAGAGAATAATGAATGTCTTTTGAAGTTTCGGATTTTAAATTTTTTTTCCTTTTTTTATGTATCTTTACAAGGTAGTCCAGATAGCAAAGCCATATATAACCTGTACAAGTTTGTCAACATTTTTTTTCCTTTATCATGTTTATATACCATATATTTACTGTATCATTAAGTATTTGAAAAAGCACTTTTTTCCCCTAATAAAATTTACCTTTATTTTACCACGTGGACAGGCACAGTAAATTGAATTAATGACAATTTATTGGACATGGTGAAAAGATTTTATGGATTGAGAAAAATAAAAATAAAATAAAAGCAACCATATTTTTAAGTTAAAAAGTATGGCATAGTTTGTTTTTCTTGGTTGTTTTGTTGCATATATCTGATATACAAATAGGAAATATCCATATGGCCAATGAAAACAACACTTCATCAAGAATTATCTACCTTGTCATATTAAAACCTGCCTGGTTATTTTGATTATGAAAATCAGTCTTTGTTTTTATTTTAGCTTTTTCATAGAAGACAAAGTTAACAAGTGAAATAACTCTTTTGCACAAAAGAGTTATATCACTTAAAATTATACAAACCATTTTCTTTTTACCACAGAGTTTTGCTTGGCTAGTTTTTCTTTGAAGATTTTTTTCAAAGATGCATGAGTTTCATTGAGAACACAACTGAGTTTCTTTTTTAAATTTTTCCTTTCAAATACCATGTTGTTTTACTTCACTGACTTCACAAGTAAATTGTGGATTGATTTGTTTAGATTAAAATAATTGAACATTTTTTATATAAGTTATTTATTTTTGAGGATTTTCATAATGCTGATATTTTTTATGAGCTCCTTGATATTGAAATTAATCTTAGTGACTTAATTTACAATTTACTTGAAGGGATGAAGCATAACATTAAGAAATTGGAGGGTTTTTTTAATGAAAAAATTTAAAGAAATACAGTTGTATTTACAATACAGCATCATAAGATATATAAAATGTACATATTTGTGTGTATATGTTTCATTGGTAAATTTACAACTGTTTGGCATCTTTGATTTTTCTTTTTTTACATCTGTTTGGCATTTAACTGCAGCTGCCCCTGTGGAGCTTTGGTTAGAATAAATGATCCTGGAGGGATCAGAATATTCTTGGTAGTGGCATTTGGCTTTATGTTTTTTGGTGCACTGGATGTGACAGTGGGGACAGTGATGGTGTTCATCTTGGTGTTAGTAGTGGAGGAAATAGCTGCAGTGGCAACTACAGGTTGTGGGTTGGCTATAATGCTTGGAAAGGAGGACTGGCCCTGTAACGTGGAGGGGAGGCTGGCACTCTGCAGCTGCACAGTCTGCATCCGTACCTGCAGGGAAACAGAAAGATGGGGGATGAGGAAAACTTAGAATTCAACAGTATATATGAAATGTTGGTGCTTACTTTTTAAACTATACAAAATTTTTAATTTTTAAACCCATTTTTTTAAAAATATGATAATTTTAAAGCATTTAAATATATTTATGAATTATATAAATAATAAATCTAATTTATGAAAGACATTTTTTTGGTAATGGCTTTGGGGTGCATAAATTATTTTTTTCTATTAATAATTCCCCAAACTGAGAAACTACTGTTATTTTTTTTCATTAATTTTAAAAATAGAGTCATATTTTTTAAATAAAATCTCATTTTGGGATTAATTTTTTTCTGTGAATATATTGAACATTGGATATTATTCTATTATTGACATAGAAAGATTTATTCCTAAATTTAAACAACTCTCACTTCTTTTTATTGAGACTAAAAAACAGATCTGCAGCAATAGAATGAGATTTATACCATATTAAGATAATGCATACATACCATATCAAATGTCTCTGTTTATTACACATGTCAGTATCAATTTTCTCTATTTACATTATTCAGACTGTTGTCCTCATCTTTGTTGCTATTTTCATGATGTTTTGGCCGTTGTACACTCTGGCTTTCTACAGGTGATTGGAATTTCAAGCTGAACCCTTTATTTTGTCCATCAGGGTAGATTGTTCTAGTTCCACATGACATACCACATCCGGATATCTCAGCATCAGTTATTTACTTTAACTCAACTCTCCAATTTATTGTGCACCTCTGCTGTAGCCAGGTATTGAAATCACAACTCTTTGGGTCAAGTCACTGGATTATTTCAACCAACTCTTTATCCACTGGGTCACCGTGAATATGGTAACAAAGATGAGGACAACAGTCTAAACAATGTAAATAGTGTAAATAATTACAATACCTCATCTCAGAAATATAGACTGATATCAGTATCTATTTAAAATTAATTTTCATGGTGAATGAAACTGAAACAACATTAACATCAAAGATAGAGTTTTAATTTCAGAAGTAATTTTTTTAAACCCTGTATTAAACCTTATTTATAAATCACGAGTTAAATTTTTTAAAAATTCATTAAAATTTTAAAATATTGAGTTATTTTTCAGAAACTTTGTACATACTTGAAAACATTAATTACAAATCTTAAAGATTTCATTTTGTTTCACTTATTCATCAACATTTTAAAAAATACAACTTTCAATAGCGATTCTTAGAAACTAATTTAAAAATTTTTTTTTTATTTATATCTATGCTACTGCTGATTACTACTACTACTAGTACTAGTAGTAGACTACTACTACTACATTGCCCAAATGACCTTGAAAATCGCAGTTCACCACAGCTTTCACCAGTAATATTTGTCATTTTCAGACAACTACTCATTCAGTACTGACATAACAGTTTATTTTTAATTGTTTGGCTTCAGACCAACTATATTTATACTAACATGACTAGCTAAAGGTATTATAAGCCATATGACTTGCCAGACAACCATTATTATCTAAGCTTATTCCATTGTTTCTTAAATCATGATCATTATATTTTTAAGGGATCCAGTAAGAAAGATCCATAATTATTGGATTTTGAGGTCAACATACTCTGGTGTGGCAGTAGTCAACTCCCCATTATTAAGCATGTAATTGTTATTTATTGATGAAAAGGAAAAAGTAAGCAACAACATCAATAACAAAAATAATCATGTATCACATTTTGTGAATGCACATTAAGACATTAATATAAGACAATTATGATAAAATCAGAAAATAATTAAAAAATTTTAGGAACAAAAAAGTGAAGAAAAAGGCAACGACCCTGAAAATAACATGAAAAGTTAATTATTCTTACATGATTACAAAATACAGAACAGCATACTCTCCATTCACACACTCTACATCATATTATCATCATTATAAATTTACTTTTTGAGTGGACCAACATTTTATTAGAATTTATCACCATTTTTTTCTTCACCTACAACAGAAACATTGAGATTTGTTTGAAATTCAGAAAATTTCCATCGGTTCCTTTCTTAAAAATAGTTAATTAAAAGTAACTATGAGGGGTGCTGAAAAGTCCCCAGCCTGATCCAATTTAAAAAAATTTGACTAAATATTAAATATTCAGGCCAAGAAAATACCTTTTAGTACTTTATATATATATATATATATATATATATATATATCTAATTATTTTTTATAAAAATTTTTCAGCTCTATTTTGTTTCAACACATTCTGTTTCTATATATAAATATATATATATATATATATATATATATATATATATATATATATATATATACACACACAATAAGATAAAGAACAAATAGGAAAAGTTTATCAAACTAGCATGTTTCCCTTTTATTAAGGCTGGCTTCATCAGAGATTAAGAGAAAACAGAAAAAAAGAGAACTTTGGTATTTTAAACTTTGTTTGGATCAATTCTTGTTGGTCAGTCATGTATCACATGCATTAAAAGATATCATTGTGCATTGTAGATAATTCTACATTATTTCCAGACCAGAAAAGTAATGCTGTATTGATTGAAACAAATGCTAATCCAATGTGCAAAGTCTGATGAGCATGCTATGTGTGGAAAATTTCTCATCCCAATTTCAGTAGGGTTTTAAGGGGCAACACGTGGACAAAAATTCTCATGCAGTAGTATGACTTTTTGACTTCCTTATACATACACATGCATATACATACATATATATATATATATATATATATATATATATATATATATATATATATATATATATATATATACACACATATATACATATATACACACACACACACACATATATACACACACATACATATACAAATATATACATACACAACCATATATATACACATATACACACACAACCATACATATATACACATACATGCATATATATATATATATGTGCATACACACACATACGCACACACACATATATAATGGTTGGCTACTCATTTCTGAGCACAGCAGTCTGCCAGGGTGGCTAGTGAACCCTATTACAGATGCCTGCTCAACCAACAGGGTCCACTCTGGTTTATATAAGCCATTTACAACAGAAAGTGAATTTCAGAAAGGTTTGCAGGCAGTTGACACAGAAGCAAGCAAAGATACAATTAGTGAGTTACTGCAATGGGTGGGACTGCATTCTCAGACTCCTAAAAAGACAATTCTACTGAAACTCAACCACATGAAGGATCATTTGCAGTTAGCTTTTCATTATCTCAAGAAGACTGCTTCATTCTGGGACAAAATAATATGGCTTGACAAGACTAAAATCATGCTCCTTGATGGGAACAGTTTGAGACACAGCTGTAGAAAGAAGGAGGATACTTCATGACTCCCAAAATATCATCAGGACAGTTAAACATGGTAATGGAAGTATAATGATTTAGGGTTGTTTTTCCTCCAATGATACAGACACACTACATATTGAAAGCACCATTAGATAGTGCTATGTATTATGAAATACCAAAAAAGAACATACTTCTATATGTGAAATTTCTTCAGTTACCAAGATGTCAGATTTTGTAGCTAACAGGAGTGGGATAAAATTGAGTTTACTTTCTGCAAGAAGCTACCTTAAATTATTCTAAACTAGTTTAAAAGCCACCCTATTGGTTGGCATTTAAGCTAGCTCCTGCAGAGGGATCTTGATCGGGCCTTTGGCCCAATAAACTTGAACAATATTTTTCAAACAACAGTTTTCATCAAAACAATGATATAATTTGTCTATTTGGAACTTATTGCAAAACTGCATGTTAACATTTTTGGTTTTCCCATTCAGGGTCAGTACAAATAGCTTGTTTCCATTTCCAACCCTTGAACAACCAACAGAGCTTGATTCTATCAGATGAAGTCCAGTTACTTTTAATGATTGTCCTTGGGACTTATTGATTGATATTGCATAGATCACTCTCACTGAAAATTGAAGTCTTTTGAACTTAAAAGGAAGATCTGGAGGAATTAAGAGGATACTTGGAATTCACTCTTTCTTCCTTTCCTGGACCAGTAAGAATCTCTACTTCCAAGAGATGAGCAAGCATCTTCTTAACCTTGTTCCATTACAAAGATTTCTCAATAGTATAACTGGCACATTTTCTTTTAGTTCTGGCTTGTATGATGGCATTCCAGGAGGATTCAATGAGTTCAGGAACTCCATTAGATAATTCACTGTGCTCTTGTTCAAACACAGTGTCAATGGAAAAGTAATTCATGCTTTCTTTTGGAATTTCTTGGAGAAGTTTCCAGTTGATGTTATCACAGTTTGATTCTTGGGAGTTAATATGGTCTTTTCACAAAGCCAGTTTGAATCCATGAAATGGTGTTTAATGTTTTGATAAACATGATTAATCAAGTCTTGGATACTTCAGTCTGAAATTCCACAATCATTTGGGAGTGAAATATCTCCATTTTGGTTCATTTGGATGGTTCCATTGCCAACCTGCAACAGCAAAGCAGCAAATCTTCCTGCTTCAAGATCACCTGTGATTCTAACTTTCATGTTTGTTTTCAGGTTGAGTCTTTGAACATGGCTCCAGATGTAAGAGTTTTTCAGGCAAGCATTGATTTCATCAGCTGGAGTTCCTCTTGCAATGACTGGTAATGTTTGTCTAAAATCACCAGGGAGTAGAACAGTGATGTCTCCCATGATTTGTGAATTCTGTCTAATGTCTTTGATTGTTTTGTTCAGGGCCTCAAATACTTGCGTGCTATAGTACATTTGTCCCAGACAATGAAGCTTGTCCCCTCTAGCAGCTTAGCCAAATTGGTTCCTTTTTTGATGTTGCAAATAGGGGTTTCATTGTAGTTCGAATCCAATGGAAGTTTGAAGGTGTTGTGTGCTCTCCAGGCAAGAGAGTAATATAGCAATTCCAGATGTTGCTACTGTTAGAGTTACTTTTCTTTGGAGTCTCCCTGTAGATAAAAGGTTATTTACAAAAGTTTTACCAGTACCTCCAGGTGAATCCAAGAAGAAA